GAGTGCAGCGCCAGGGTGTCGCCCGAGCAACTCGGCGCTTGCCTGGAGGAGGTCCTGGCCATCGCGTTGACCCCGAGCCCGATCCTGGCGGCCGCGCGCCACTCGACCACGGCGGCCATGGCCATCGTCGTGAACTGAACCCCGCGCCGCGGAACTCGCGCGGGCCCCTTTCGGCGCGGCGTCGGCCGCCGACGGAAGCGACCCCTGCCTGGCGCCCGCTGCGTGCCAGCGCGAGCGCGGCTGACCCCATCCAGCACCGCGGGCGCTCGCCCTGGCAGAACTGGACAAACGGGCCCCTGCCGAGGAACGCGTCGGCGGCGCCGGCGGCTCGCGGCCCGCAGGAGGCCGCGTCGGATCTCGCGGGGGTCGAAGTCCCGCGCGCCCGCGAGAGCCTCGTCAGGGAGCGCGCCGCCGAGGAAGTCTGCCCAGCACGAGCCCACAGCCGATGGATAGGCGGCAGCCTGTGTCGCGCGGTGCCCGCGCTGTGAGACGGCGCGTCTGCGCGGTGTGCGAGGTCGACCCCCCGGGGCCTTCGAGGTCCCAACCTTCATATGCATCCAAACCGGCGTGCCATAGGCTGCGCCGTGCACGCTCATATCGAATTTTACCTATATGACGTTCGGGAGTCCACGAAGCCGATCGATCGAGTCGAAGGTCCATAACCTCGAGGCTCTGGGATTCCACACTTCAGTAGCGCCCACGACGTTACAGTGCATGACATAGCGCGACCGTGAAGAGCGCAAACTCAAACTCGAGCCGTTCTCTAGCTCGCGCTCGCGCGTGGTTCTGAACGCCCCGCCGCGCGACTCACCGAACTTGACAAGGTGCCTCGAGGTGAGCGCGCGCAAGACGACCACTTCGGGCCAGATCCGAGATAAACTGTCGCGTGCTCCGCCGAGACAGGTCAAACCCACATCCATCTCTGACGCCCACCGGGTCTGCAGAAGGGCGCCAGATCGCGGTGCAGGCGCAAGTCAGCTGCCCGAGACCACCGAATATCTTGAAACAAACAACTGGAAAACCAAACTCGTTCTAAATTGTCGGGCGACCAACATATGCAGGACAAAAAGAAATGGGCCGTGAAGATGACAAAGGGGGAGGGATGATCTGTCCGCTCGCGCTCTGGAGTTGGGTGACAGTCCGATCTGTCCGCTCGCCCTCTGGAATTGGTTCGGAATTGGGCGAACGTCCGAGGCGTCAGGCCCCTCGGCCAGCGCGCCGGCCCCACCTCGGAAGGCCGTCGGCGCCGCGCTGCGCTGGCCCCGCGGGCGCTCGCGAGCGGAGACCCGCCCCTCCGCCCGCGCTCCGCCTGGGCCCTGAGCCGACGGCGCGGGCCGCTTGAGCTCCCATTGGCGCGAGCCGAGGCCACTCAGGTTCTGATCCGTCTCGACGCAGCGCCTTTGCCACGCGATCTGGCCCCCCAGTCGGCAGGCAGCCGCGCGCCGACGCAGCGCCTGCAAGCCCGAGCCGGAGCGGCCCTACTCGACAGCCCCCACGGCGACCTGGCGGTCGCTGGTGGTGAGCAGCTTCGAGCCCAGCAGCGTGGCCAAGCGACAGCGTCAGCGCAAACCCATCAGTCAAGGCCACCGGCGCTTCTTCCAGGCTGACGCGCTCAACCCTCCACCGCCGGCGGTCGGCAGCCACCATCTGGCGGCGCCGACGAGTCGTCCAGCCGTCGGCCAGCAATGTGATCCCCGAGTCTAGGGCGACCTCGACGCGGGGCCGCCTGGCGGGCGCGACCGAGGGCCGCGGCCCGGCGCGCGACTCGGCCTGGCCCCGAAGGCCCTGGCCGAAGGCTGTCCGCGGGCTGGCCGACATGCCGGGCGCGCCGCCACGCGCGCGTAGTCTTGGCCCTCCAGCGACGAGACGTCCCGGCACCGCCTGCGCTCCAACCATCCCCAGGCCTCGCGGATCAGGCAAGGCTCGCCCTTCGCCGCGCGCAGGGCGTAGCCGCGGCCCGAGGAGCCCCCGCAGTAGACCTGGTCGGAGTTGGCGGCGCAGCCTCCATCAGCGACAGCAGGTTCCTGGCGCAGCGGATCTCATGCTCCACGGACGGCCGCGCACGCTTCGGCACCTCCAGGGCTTCGTCAATGAAGCGATGCAAGGCATTCAGGGCGGACGTGGCCGCGGGACAGGGCTGGTTCAGGTTCACTACGTGGCCGAGCCAGCACTGCTGCGTGTTTCTGCGTAGCCTGCGCCGCCGCAACAGAGCGCGACCAATCAAGTCGGTCCGCCAGACTCGCCGAGCCACGTGCCGAAGCCGTCGCTCGCGCCAGGTGTGCACCAGGCCGAGCGTCTGCATCTCCACGCCGCCCCTAGGCACCACGTCGAAGGGAATGCTATCTTCACTCGTACTCTTCTCAATAGCTCGCATCTGTCTCTCCGCATCGGCTACGCAGCCCCCGATCACCTGCACGTCGTCAACATGCGCGCCCGCGACGCATTTGCCAGGCCGCAAAGTAACTGCGGGCCGCATCCCCCCCAGATCTGGTCGGCGCCATCATCGAAGTATCTCTCCGCTCGGTAGGTGGCGGCCTCGCTCGCAAAGTACAATACCAACGACCAGCCCACGCATGCTGCAACCATGCAAGGGTACAGCACATCGCCGGCCAGGACCTCGGTCCGCGCAGCATCACATCATTGCCGAGGCCACCAGGATCGCAAGGCAGAAAGACAGGATCACCATGCCGTCCACTACGTGACCGGATGCCTCCTGGACAGGAAACGGCAAGCCCACGTCGTAGTCGGCTGTGGGAAAAGGCTCACTCGGTGCCCGGGCTGCCAGCACCGGCGGCCCCGCAGCCCAGAGGGGCGCTGGCGCCACCGCCAATGTCGGCCGATCCGTCCGTCGCCTTCCTCGTGAACATCGTCAGGTTGACGTGCTCGCTTGGCTCGTCCCTCCAACCGTTTTCACCGATTGCCCGCTCCGACTCCCAGTGGTAGGACCGTCTTCCCCACCCGACCAGGGCATGGAAACCCAGGGGAAGGCCGCGGTCCGTGGCAAGCACCACCTCGGAGGTCGCCATGTCGGGCCCGCAGAAGTCGAGAGGGCGAAGCCTCGCTCCACCGCCATCTTTGTCAGGGTCTCCGGCCGCGCTGGGAGCTCGAGGGAACTCGGCGCCGAAACTCCGACCAGATCCCGAGGATGCCTGGAGAGCATCACGTCGCACAGGTTCCGAAGCACGTGGTTGACTGCTTATGTGTCGCTGGCTTCGCTGGCACATATCACGTCGCACAGGTTCCAAAACACGGGGTTAACTGGTTGACTGCTGATGTGTCGCCGATCCCGCTGACCCGCTCCCAGTTGGGCTGGTAGGACGTCATGTTGCCCCGCCGAACGGTGTGGCAGATCAGTGACTCCTTCACGCTCCTGACGCTGGCCAGCGCGGAGAGCGGCAGCTCCGAGCCTCTCATCAGTGCGACAGCCACCGACAAGCGCAAGCCCCTCAGGCCCACTCAGTCAAGATGACCACCCCACCAGCTCGTCGCTGTAGTCGGTGTTCGCGTCCCGCACGTGGCCCGCCAGGCAGGTACCGTCCGCCCCCAGCACCAGGGTCATCTCCCCGTTCATCACCGCCTCGCCCTTTCGGTCGACGCCCATCTCGTGGGCCTTCTCACTCGCGAACGCTTCGCCGACGAGCTTGTCAAAATGATACAGTCTCGGCCCGATCCTCATCACGTACATCCAACTGGTAGTGTCGTGGTCGGGTGCAATCAAATCCCGATGTCTTCGCTCGCTACGAAGGATAGCAGCTGGTGATGCCGGAAGAAGCCGAGTAGGTCTCTCTCGTACCGCACCAAGGTCTGGGAGCAGGCGGCGACCAGCGTCAGCACGTCAGGCATGGCGCCTGCTAGAGGTCGAAGGCCCGCCGCCCACAGTCACCGCCGCCAATGGCGCCGCGTCGCGGTCGGTAGCGCCGCCTGAGGCGCACCCGTCGACCGCGCGCCGGGCCGCAGCGGCCGCGCCCGCAGGCCCCAGCCAGGAACCCCAGGGCCCCCGCGCTCGAGGCGGCGAAGACGGGCACCGGCAGCCCGCCCAGCAGCAGGCACCGCAGTGCCCAGACCTCCACCTGGAGGTCGATGATCCGCCGCAGCTCCGCGTCACAGGAGCAGGGGCAGGCCTCCTCCGCGCTGTTGCTCGGAGGCGGGGGCGGCTGCCGGGCAGGAGCCGCGGGGACCGGGGGCCAGCCCTAGGACCAGCAAGCACCCAGGGTGGCGCTCCAGACGGTCACTAGCGCCGCCCCGAGCGAGGACGGCCCGCCATCCATGCAGGCCGGCCGCGCAGGGGCCTCTTGGACTTGAGCCGGAGGCACGCTAGGCTTGCATGAGACCTGACGGGCGAGAAGGGGCCCAAGGGCATCATTCACGTCTAATACTAAGCATCCGAATTGCAAGCACTGTTTGGGAATGACTGCAAAGCTGTTTTCGCCGCGCCGCACACTGCGATGCTGCTCCACGACGCTGCCACCCGGGAAATCAGAAGACCCCTTTTCCGTTCACCCCGAGCAGTTTTCTGACGGCCCCAAGGCCCAGTGTGGGCCCCAAGAGTCTAGAAAGCAAATAGACAAAAACTCGGTCGCGTGCCTTTCACTTACACGTTCCTGCTTTGCGTGTCGCGGCGGCGGCACCAGCGACACGCCATGCCGTGCGAGCGGATAGAGCATCGTTCCGCTCAGCGGGGGTGTATGCCTCCAAAAGCTCGAGACCATGGGGAATGGGGGAGTTGATGTTTGTGGCGCCGAAGCGAGTGGTGGGCTAGAACCAGCGGCGCGAAACGCTAAGGCAGAGTTCGTCATCGTAGATACAGTCAACACGTATAATCCCGACACACGATAAATATGCAAGAGCCTTGGAAGGCTAAACCGACAAGTTGCCGGCGAGGCGCGGCCAGCGAAAGCGGCCAAGGATGGACCGAAGTTGAAGGATGCAAGGGAAACCTTGGAAAGTCGCTCATCCTTTCTACGAGGATTGACTGTACGCTGTCGTCCCCCCCCCCGTGCCTTAGCGTCCTTGGCGGTCTCCTTGGCGCCCTCCTGCATACCCGTCTTCAGCTCGCCCACGTCCTCGGCCATGAGGCGCACCTCGTTGGCGATGGCCTCCTACCAGCAAGCAGCAATGGTCCCTGGCCCCGAAGAAAGAGCTCTGCTGGAGGCCGCTGGCAAGCCAGGCTCGTGAACGGAAAGCCGAGGATCAGATCACAGGGAACTGCTCCCGAGGAGAGAGGAGAGACGAGGAGGACTTGGACAGTAAGCGACCATGGTTGTGGTCGACATGGGCGCCCCAGGCGGCCAAATCGACCACGACCACAACCAAAGTGCGGATGAAAAGGTCGGTGGTTTCCCTCCCGAGGAGCTGTCCGACAAATCCACTGCGCAATGGTTGTGGTTCTGTGCTGCGCACGTCCCATAGGCTCCCTCGTCGTGAGTCCAAGCGAGCATGCGCTACTGCGCGGAGGCTCCACCTTGCGAGACGAGCGCCCCAGCTCCTCCTTCCAAGCTCCTCCTCCCCACATCCTCCTCCTCCTCCTCCTCCTCCTCCTCCTCCTCCTCCTCCTCATCCTCCTCATCCTCCTCCTCCCTCCCCCTCCCTCTACCCCCCCTCCCCCTCCTTCCCCCTCATCCTCGCCCTCCTCCTCCTCCTCCTCCTACTCCTCCTCTTCCTCCTCCTCCGATTCCATCCTCCCCCAGCAACCTCATCCTCATTCTCCTGCTGCTGCTCTCTTCTCCCCTCTCTTGATCCCTTCCCTCCTCCTCCTCCTCCTCCTCCTCCTCTCCTGCTCCTCCTCCTCCTCCTCCTCCTCCTCCTCCTCGTCCCCGCCCGCCCCTTCGAAACTAACCTTTAGACTAGCCCTCGAGCGCGATCCGGGAACGAGGGCCCCTCATGGGGGCGGGGGGGGGGGCAAACATATCAAACCAAAGAACAGCTCCGCTTCCCTCTCCTGCCTTCCGCTTCGAAATACACACTATGCATACGACTCTCCTCTCTCCCCGGATGCTGTGCGAATTTGGCCCGCCTCTTCCGCATGCTTCCTGCTTCCTTCCCGCCCCACACACACCAACACACACAAACACACAGCAATTGCTTATTTGGTATTCTCAAACTAACACTCCCAATGGCTCATTTCGATCGCATCGCAACGTTCCGGGTCCGCCAACAATGGTGTTCCCACTGATGTGTTGGCCACATTTCAAAATCGGTGCTTTGCTCCCCTCGTTCAGAATGGCGGTCTCGCCTCAGCGCGGGCCAAACTTTTGGATCGGATCCCTTCCTCGTTGTTACTGCGCTGTGCCTTTCCAATCCTCCGCCTTCCGCTGATCCCCCTGCGCCTTCTATTCCCCTGCACCTGCTGCAACTGATCCTCTTTGTCCTCATCCTCATCCACATCATCCTTCTTCCTGTTTCTCATGCGGCGAACCATCCAAATTGCAAAATGGCCCAGCTTGGGACAGCCACAAAACATTCCCCCACCCACCAAACACCGCCCCACCCTCCAAACACCGCCCCTCCCGCCAAACACCGCGTCACCCACCAAACGCGGCCCCACCCACCAAACATGTAGGAATTCAGGTCCTATACCCAGCGGATACGGAAGAATGCGGCGCAATGGAAAGGGATGGGTGCGAGGGGTCAAGATGTCAAATATAGCGCTAGCGCACCTGGCACATGGCGTGCCGCTTCCGGCTTCCAAACCCTCCTCCTCCCTTCCACCTACGCGCAAGAGTGACCATAGGCCAGAGTGACCTCTGGCAATAATGACCTTTCGCAAGCGGCCTCAAGAACCGCGGGCGAGGCGGGCCAAATCCAAGCACGCCAGCCGGTGTTGGGAGGACCCCTGTGGGCCCGCACCGAAGAACACTCCGGCGAAGGGCCATTCTTACGCTTAGCCGATCTTCCCTGTCCTCCCTTCTTACTGTCCACAAGGGAAAGCACAGCATGTTAGCCACCGTTGACCCCAAACAACGTTTATCTGACAATCTATGTTGTGCAATCTGTTTTGCGCAAGCCTATGTGATCCGACCGACGCTGCGCAACACACGCGGCGCATTCTACGTGGTGCAAACCAATGTTGTACAACCGTGATCGTATTCGTATACATATGTATGGATACACGGATGAGGTTATGCGTGTATATAAATAAATGGGTGAACGTGTATATATGTATATATATATATATATATGTATGTATGTGTGTGTGTCTTGTGCAACCGATGTTGTGCAACACATATAATGCAACCCATGCTGCGAGTGACCAAAAAGCGCGCCGCAGGCGCAAACACAACACGACGCAATCGATGTGATGAGATCTACGTTGTGCACTTTACGTGGGGCAGTCCATGATGGTGCAATCCACGCGGTGCAACCCACCAAGGCTCATCTTGAAAGTATCCACTCCACTGCCCGCGCAAACATCCCACCCACCCGCCCGCAAGTTTGCAAACCCTGTGCGGCGGCGATTACGATGAGTGCTTGGCGCTGGCTGGTGCATTTCTGCGGCCGAGACAGCCCGCGCATGCGCGCGCGCAACGGCCAGCTTGTTTGGCGCGGCCGACCCAACAGCGGTGGTGCTGGCCGCCGGGCACATCCCAGCGGGCACTTCAATGCGAGTCGGGGACTTGGGCTGGCGCGGGATCGTGGCAACGTCGACAACGGTAGACACGGTGATGGTAGTAGCGATGCTGGTGCCGATGCTGACAGCGACGACTGCACGGCCAGTGACGGCGCGGATGCTGATCACGCCGAAGACGATGACGGCGTCCTCGCGTCGGTGATGAAGGTTTTGGAAAGAGTTCGACATGTGCGCGCGCGGCCGACGCGCGAGAGTGGCCCGTGTGTTCTTTGACACGGAGCGTGCCCCCCAACACGCGCCAAAGGGCTGCGGCGCCAGAGGCCCCTTTGGCAGAATTCCATGAAAATGTTGAAAGCCGAAGTCGCAAAAACGCGAGCGCACGTTTTTTTTTGAAAACCTGATGTTGCGTAACCGTGTTGTTTTAATTGTAATTTGGACACGCGGTTTTGCAATCCTGACGAAACCAAGGTTGTTGGCGCGCGTAGCAACGCCAGCGCGCGCGCAGTTCGTCTCATTTTCTGCAATGGATTCTCGCGACGGCACTCGCGCAAGGGCGTTCGAACGATTTCGACATGCGCGCGCGTGAAGCCCGTCTGGTAGCATTTTCCTGGAAATGTTGAAAAACGTATGTTTCGTTTTGGCAGTTCGCGAGAACGCGCGGACAAGCTTGTTTTTTTGAAAATCGGTGTTGCGAAATCCTGTGTTTCTCTTGTTTGTTGAATCTGTTTTTTGGCGACTCGATTGCAAATCCCTTCCGATACCAAGGATTTCCGAAGAATTCCGGCATGCGCGCGCGACGACGCGCGCGTGTGCACTTCGTCTTACTTTTGCAAGGGATTCTTGCAAACGTGTCATTTGTGGTAAACGAGTGTGCGCGCATGGAATCTGTTGCAGAAAATGTCGGGCGGGGGGGGGGCGGATACCGGCTCGGCTGGGATGGTACGAGTTCACGTTTAGGATGGACGATGGGACGGAAGCGCATGTAAATTGCAATATGGAAAAGGGGATGTGATCATCCGGACGGGGGGTAGAATATATTTTTTTGTTGGGGGGAAGGAGAATCTATGGTGTGGAATCGATGCTGTGCTGCATATGTTATGCGACCTATCTGGTTGTACACTATAGTTATGTTTTGATGTCTACGTAGTGCAATCTATGATGTGAAATTTGTATGGTGCAATAAAGTGATTGTGCAACATACGTCATGCAATCCAAGTGGCGCAATCTACATGGTGCAATATATGTGTTACAATGTATGTTGTGAGCGATCAGCAAGTGCGCCAAAAGGCGTGGTTCTGTCGTGCAACTTACGTCGCGCAATCCAATGGCGGCGACGGGCGGCGACGAGGTGGCGACGAGGCGGCGACGAGGCGGCGAGGGCTGGCACGGAGCCGCCAGACAGACACACACCCCCAAGCGACGGGCGGCGACGAGGCGGCGACGGTTGGCACGGAGCCACGAGACCGAAGGCGCGGCCCTGTTCCTGAGAGCAGAAGGTCCCCTGGGATCTATATTCTAGTTCGCACGAGCGTGGCCGCATTTAGGAATCCCGGCCGGGGCAGAGAAGTACCCTGGGCAATTCCCAGCAAGTCGCTGTCAGAGATGCCGGATCTCTTCGGCGCGGGCCTGGAGGCCTCTGGAAACGTCCAGGAGCGGCCCAATGAGTCGACAAATAGGTGGCAGATGCTACGGCCAAAACCAATGCGTCCCAAGGCGGCCCAAGATGGCCTCACGACGGCCCTCGATGCCCCCAACACGCCCCTCGAGGCTTCCAAGAGGTGTCCGAAAAGGCAGAAAATCATTAATTATCTTGTGGCTTTGGGAGGTTTTCAGCTTTCTCGTCTTTGCGGTTTTCCGACGTTCCAAGAGGGCCTAAGAGGCCTTCAAGACCGCCCAGACACAGCCCAAGAGGCTCCCAAGATGGGCCCCACGATTGCCCAAGACGGCTCCAAGACGGCCCAAGAGGCGGCCACAAGGGCCCAAGAACGCCCCAAGACGGCCCCAAAAGGGCCGGAGACACCCCCAAATCGGGCCAAGCCGCCCAAGATAGCCTCAAGACGGCCCAGGAGGCCGCCCAGACGGCCCAAGAGGCTTGCAAGAGGCCTGCCAAGAGGTCCCCACGAGACAGAAATCATTGATTTCCCGTTGGTTTTGGAAGGTTTTTCAACCTTCTCGCCTGTTCGGCTTGCCGACGCTCCAAGAGGGCCCAAACACAGCCCAAGAGCCTCCTAAGATGGCCCCACGATGGCCCAACATGGAAGAGGCTTCCACACGGGCCCAAGAGTGCCGCAACACGGCCCCGAGAGGGGCTGGAGACGCCCAAAAATCTGCCCAAGCCGCCCAAAATGGCCTGAAGATGGCCCAAGAGGCCACCAATACCTCCAATACGTTCCAAGAGGCTCACGAGACAAAAATCATAGATTTTCCGTAGGTTCTTGGAGATTTGCAGCCTTCTCGCCTGTTCTGCTTTCGACGCTCCAAGATGGCCCCAGGGGCCTCCAAGACCGCCCCAAGACGGCCCGAGAGGCCCCCAAGAGTGCCCCCCAGACGGTCAAAGACTGCCCGAAAACAGCTCCAGAGGCGCCCAAGATGGCCCAAGAGGGCCCCAAGAGGGACCCAAGATGGGGAGCACGAACCACCAATTCGAGCCTTCCGCCCCAACAGCCCCCCAGGAGGACCCAAGAGGCCCCCAAGAGAGCCCAGGAGGCTCCCTGGAGGCCCCACGAGGCCCCCAAGAGGCCTAAAAAGAGGCGCCAAGAGGCCCCCAAACGGCCCCCAAGAGGCCCATAGAGGCCACGAATGCGCAAGCAAATGTCTGCGATGGCACAATACGGGCCGGCGGAGTGGGCGAAGCGATTAAATCTAAATAAACTTTGGGAAGTCCGCGCGGATTTCTGGGATCCGCGCTGGACCCTCTCTGGCGCGCGCAGTGCGCCAGGGGCGGCGCCGGAGGCGCCGCCAGTGGGGTCCCAGCGCCGCTCCAAGAAATCCACGTGGAGCTCGCAACCTTTATGTTGATGCAGTTGTTCGTTCCTCGATGTCCTCTTCCTCCTCGTGATAAAAAAACTGGCTTGGACTAGAAAGGCGACTAAGGCACAGTGACCAACACATTAAGCTGCAAGCAAGTGCGGAAACAGTGGGGCAATGAGAGCTGGGGAAAGAACTCAGATACCCGTCAGGGCGCAGAGCAAACGTGAGCAGCTGGCGTAGGCTCCCCTTCTGCTCTCCTTCCTCTCCTTCCTCCTCTTCTCGGCGGCGGGGCCGGAGGTGAAGTCAGAGGGAGAAGGCCTTCTCTTAGGGCGGCGGGACTTCTCAGAAGCCCTCGCGCCTTCTGAAACAAATTCTTTGTCTTCGTGGAGATGTCAGGCAACTTCTCGGAAGGCCCGAGGCCTTCCGAGCCTTCTGAGAAGGTCCGCCTCCTGTCGCCTCCGCCCACGGAGGCCGCCGATCTCCCTCGCCCCCGCCCCCTTTTCCTCCTCCTCCTCCTCCTCCTCCCCCTCCTCCTCCTCCTCCCCCTCCTCCCCTCCTCCCCCTCCTCCTCCTCCTCCTCCTCCTCCTCCTCCTCCTCCTCCTCCTCCTCCTCCTCCTCGCTCTCCCCCCCCTCTGCACCGCATCCTTGGCGCCGTCCCCGAGCTTCTTGGCCTTCTCCCCCAGCTTCGCCGCCCACGACGGCATCGCCAGCCGCGGCCTCGGCGTGCCGGCCAGCCGCGCACGACGACGAGGACGACGACACCGACGACGCGCACGACGCCGACGCCGACGCCGACGACGCCGCCGGCGCCGACGACGACGACGCCGCCGGCGCCGAGGACGGAGACGAAGAAGACGAAGACGACGACGCAGACGACGACGACGCCGACGAGTCGTCCGACGCCGGCGACGCCGACGTTGACGACGCCGCCGGCGCCGACGTCGACGAATTTGACTCCTGCGGCGGAGGTCCCCAGGAGGTCTCCAGAGGCCAGGGGCCCGCAAGGACAACCCACAACCTCGACCCTCGACACCCGGTCGACGTCGACGATGACGACAAACGGCGACGATGCAGACGCCGACGACAGCGACAGCGACGATGACAAGCTACGTCGAAGTGGCCCCCAGAGACCCCTGGAGGCCCAGCGGAGCCGAAAACGTGCAGCACGTGTCCAGTAAGAGGAAGGAGTGCTTGCCAGCGAGCACCACAAGCATATGGTTATTTCATCCTCTGTGTCAAAAAATTGTGCGGGTGTCATCTACATCTGGCACATATCGCCCTTCATCTGGGGTGTAATCGGCACGTACTACTGCTGCCCCTCCCCAAACCCCTTCCTCGGGGATCCTGGTCCGGCTGGTTTGGAGGGGTGGGGGTCGGGCCGGAAGGGCTGGTAATGCCTCTGGGTGTCCCCAGGCGGCCTCGAACTTGCTTCAAGAGGCCCCAAAGACGGCCTAAATTGCTCTTCATGTGGCCCCAAGACGCCTCAAGACGGCCTCAAGATAGTCCAAGAAGCCTCCAAGACGCCCCAAGAGGGCTCCAAGCGGACCTCCAAGAGGGCCCCAACCAACAAAGATCGTCCCATACCTGAAAGAAAACTTGCGTGCTCAGCATCTTTGCTTATTTCGTTTTGACAGCGACCAACGCGGTCCAAGAGGCCACCACATGTCGGCCCACGACGGCCCAAGAGGTCTCATAGGGGGCACAGTGCGGCCAAGGACGCAGAGGCACTCAAGACAGACCAAGAAGGCCCCACGGTGGCCCAAAAGGCCCCCAAGACGGCCCCTGAGAGGCCACCAAAACGGCCTCCAAAGGCGCCAGACGGCTCCAGAGCGCCCAAACAACGGCCCACGTCTTTCCCAAGCGGCCTCACGATGGCCCCAAGATGTCCCCAAGATGCCCCCCGCTTACCCCCACGAGGCCGTCAGAAGGATCCCGGGAGCCCTGCACATGCCCATGCTCTGTGCGCCTCGGGCGTGCACACCGCGAGGCACGAGGAACCCAATTATCCACAGCAGTGGCAACCAGAATGCCCAGCTATCCTGTTCTTGCTTGCGAGACCTCTGGCCCGCTCGTAACCCTGCACCTGCCGGCTTCACGGTTTACGGTTCTTACAGCCGAGTTCCAAGTCCTCTCTAGGAGCAGAAAGGAGCAACAAAGAAAGGGGCGCGATGTCCAGAAGGGTTGAGGCGGCGCATATGGAGAAGAGGGAAGGCCGAGAGGAGGGAAAACAAGATGGAAGGAGGAGGATAGGCGCCGCCGAAACCATAGTCTCAACCCGAGCCCCAGCCTCCTGGCCGAAGGCTCTGCCTCTGGAGGCTTGGGGTGAGGAGCGTGCGGATAGAAAGGTGCCAGGCCTCCTACTCATGTTTTCCCACCTTACCCACTCGGCCTGATCCCTGAGCTTGCCGCCCTTCCCTCGTTTTCCTCCTCCATCGTTCATCCCCTCCTCCTTCAGCCTCCCACTCCGGAGGCGGGTCCCTGTGCTCGCGGTGACAGAGGCACGCCCGCAGACGACGATGACGGCGTCCTCGCGTCGGTGACGAATGTTGTGGAAAGCGTTCGTCATGCACGCGCGGCCGACGCGCGAGTGGCCCGCATGGTTTTACTTGACACGGATCATGCCCCCCCAGCGCGCGCGCAAGGGCGTGCGAATGATTTCGACATGCGGCGCGAGAGGCCCGTTTGGCAGAATTCCATGAAGATGTTGAAAGACGATGGTTATCTGAAGAATTCGCAAAAGCACGAGCGCAGGCTTTTTGGAAACATGAGGTTGCGATACCATCTTTTCAGATGTTGTTGGACACTCGGTTTTTAAATCGCCACGACACAAAAGGTTTTGAATTGATTTCGGCATGCGCGCGCGACAACGCGCGCGCACTTCGCCCATGTTTTGCAAAGGATTCTCGCGACGCACGCGCGCAAAAGCGTTCGAACGATTTCGACATGCGCGCGCAAAGCCCGTTTGGAGGCCCGTTTGGAAGCATGTTCACTCGCTTCGTGGCCCCATAGGGAGCTCCGCCGAAGGCCCCACTGGCTGCGTCCGCATGTTGACTGTCCCCATTTCGGCGGACCCCTCAACGTTTCCTGGCCCCACAGAAAGCTCCGCCGACGGCCTCCGTGGCTGCGTCCGCATGGTGACTCGCCCCAGTTCGACGCACCTCTCCTACGTGGTGGGCCCTATAGGGAACACCACCGAAGACCTCAGTGGCTGCGTCCGCATGGTCCTGGTGGCTCGGGCTCACTTCAGAGCAACCCTCACAGGAGCTTCGCCGAAGGCCCCAGTGGCTGCGCCCGCATGGTGACTTGCCCCCATGGCTGCGTCCGCATGGTGACTCACCCCCATGGGTCGGCCAGGAAATCATGAGCTCGCGGCGCAGTCTGCCGAGTTTGGCCCGACGTTACTCGGCGAAGTTTTTGTGCATCGAGCGGTCCTATTGATAGATTCCACGCGGGTAGCATGGGAGCATGGGTTGGATTATTCGCCGGGGTTTCGTCGCTGCGTGAAGCATGGTTTTGTGACACCGTGCGCGCGCAGAAATAAACGTTGAAAATCCGCCGACCCCAAGCGATGTGAGATGCTCCCCCTCCCCCAACCCCTCCTCCGGGAGACTGGTCCGGTCGATCAGGAGGGGGGGAGGAGGAGGGTCTATCCGAGCTGGCCGGGGGTCTATCTGGGCAGGCTGGGGGCCTATCTGGGCTGGCTGGGGGGGGGGATTTTGCTCAAGAAATTCTGCCGGGGAGGCATCGAGGGCCTCAGAACGGGCCACGAGGGCCCCAAAAGACCTCCAAGACGGTCCAAGAGGGCCCCGTGTCGCCGAAACATCGTCCCAAGACGCCCAAGATGGCCTCCAGACGGCCCAAGATGCCTCCAAGACGCTCCAAAAGGCTTCGAAAAGGCCTCCGATCCAAGATGCTCATTTGTTTTATAAGGTTTTTGTCTTTCTCGCCTTCTCGGGCTTCCGACGCTCGAAGACGGCCCAAGAGGCCCCCAAGACCGCCCCAAAACGGCCCACGGGGCCCCACAAATCGCCCCAAAACGGCCCAAGAGGCCCCCAAGAAGACGGCCCAAGAGGACCTCAAGACAGCCCAAGAGGGCCCCAAGAGGGGCCCAAGATGGGGACCACGAACCGAAAATTCTCGCTTTCCCCCCCAAAGAGGCCCCCTGGAGGCCTCAAGAGGCCCCCAAGGGGCCCCAAGAGGCCCCCAAGAGGCCCCCAAGAGGCCCAAAAGATATCCCAAGAGGCACCCAAACAGTCCCCCAGAGGCTTCCAAACTGCCTCGGGCAGGCCCCCGAGAGGCTTCTCACGAGACCCCAACGAACATCCCAGAGGCCTCTGAACCACAACCCAGGCGCGGTGGCGGGATAGGCCGAAGGCCACTAGATCCGCCGCCCCCTGTCGATTCATCGCAGGGATGCCTGGCGTGCTGGACCCTTTCGGTTTTGGTTTTGGTTCTTTTTCCAAAAGAACTCCCCCTGGAGCTCCGGAGCGTCCCGCCAGCCACCAAGAAGACCTGGTTGCCATCGCCAAAAAAACAGCCGTTTCGCTCGGGACATCCTCAACAAATCTTGAAAATGGCCCAAGATGGCCTGCAAGATGCCTCCAAGACAACCAAGATGGCCTCCAAGACGGCTAAGATGGCCCCAAGGTACATCCAAGACGGCCCAACATGGCCCCCATATGGTCTCAGACGGCACAAAAAGCCCGCAAGAGGCTTCCAAGACGGCCCGAGAGGCCTCCAAGAGTTCCTCCAGGAAGGCCCGACGAGGCCAAAATCATTAATTTTCCTTAGGTTCGCAAGGATTGTTGCATTTGCGCCTTTTCGGCTTTCCGACGGCCCGTGACGGCCCCGGAGGCCGCCAAGGTCGCCCCAAGATCGCCCAAGAGGCCTCCAAGATGGCCCCATGACGGCCCCAGAGGCCCCCAAGACGGCCCCAAGAGGGCGCCAAGACGGCCCAAGAGGCCTCGAAGACACCTAAGATGGCCTCTAAGACGGCCCTGGAGCACCCCAAGAGGGCCCCAAGTCGGCCCAGAAAGGCCCCCGAAACGGCTTCCGACGGCGTCACACGGGCCAGGAGCCCACCAAGATAGCCGAATGTGGCTCGCAGCTGGCCCAAGACGGCCCAAGAGGCCTCCAAGAGGGCCTCCAGGAAGGCCACAAAAGGCCAAAAAGAGTGACTTTAGGTTTTGAAGGATATTGTAATTTGCTTCGTTTCGGCCTTTCGACGGCCCGATACGGCCAAGAGCTCCCAAAGATCGCCCAAGGATCGCCCAAGAGGCCTCCAAGATGGCCCCAGAACGGCCCAAGAGGCGCCCAAGACGGCCCCAAGAGGCCCCCAAGACGGCCCAAGAGGCCTCCAAGACGCTCAAGATGGCCTCCAAGACGGCCCACGAGCCCTCCAAGACGTCCTCCAAGAAAGCCCGAAAGGGTCAAAATGGCCTCCAGGCGGCCAAGATGACCTTCAAGATGCCCACGTGTTCCCCGAAGACTTCCAAACCGATTCGGGGAACACATGGTCCGATAGCTTGACAGGTCTGGCCTCAACGTTCGGCCACACAGGCGCTTCCACAAAGGCAGGGGACGGCGGTGATTCGCCGTAGGCGTCTTCGATCCGCCGCCCCCTTTTTGATATATCAAAGGGGTGCCTGGCGTGCCGGATGATATGGCTTTTGGTTTGGGTTCTTTGTCCAAAAGAACTTCCCCTGGGGCTTCGGCCC